TAACGTTGTTTTGATGACTATAGTGTCCCCTTAATGTACATTATTCTTACCAGCCTATCCAGTTATTTATTATTGTAATTGTTTGCACTTGCACTTAAACTATCTGTAATTAAAACAAATTATTTCTTACAAAGGTTTTTTTCCTCTTTGTGTATGTCTAGGTGACCGGGGGGGGGAGGCGGAGGGCGCCACAAGATTGGCTTGCACAGGGTGCCTAAACACCTATGGTCGGCCCTGTATGTGTGCAGTGAGCTTGTCTGTAGTAAGCATGTGTGTGATCGTGAGCTTGTCTGTAGTGACCATATGTGTGTCAGTGAGCTTGCCTGTAGTGAGCATGTGTGTGATCGTGAGCTTGTCTGTAGTGACCATATGTGTGTCAGTGAGCTTGTCTGTAGTGAGCATGTGTGTGATCGTGAGCTTGTCTGTAGTGAGCATGTGTGTGATCGTGAGCTTGTCTGTAGTGACCATATGTGTGTCAGTGAGCTTGTCTATAGTGAGCATGTGTGTGTCAGTGAGCTTGTCAGTAGTGAATCTGTGTGTTAGTGAGCTCTTCTGTAGGGGGCATGTGTATGTCAATGGACTTGTCTGTAGAGAGAGTGTGTGCGCATCAGTGAGCTTGTCTGTAGTAATCTTGTGTGCATATCAGAGTTTGTCTGTACTTAATTTGCGTGTGTACCAGTAACCTTATCTGTGTGTCATTGAGATTGTCTGACAATGAGCCTATTTGTGTGCATCAGTAAGATTGTCTGCATGTGAGTATGCTTTACTGTATGATTTAATTACCCTGAAGGGACTAATATTTTGAATTAGAAAAATAAATATACCAATAATATATATATATATAGACAGAGTGAGAGAGAGAGAGAGAGAGAGAGAGATATGTGTGTGTGTGTGTGTGTATATATATATATATATATATATATATATAAAACAAACTACATAGCACAATGACTTATGGGGCTGGCATAGATTTTTTTCCAGGACTGCTTCATATCCCCAGTCCGGCCCTGACTCTACCTGCATGGGTTCCTCCATACAAAACAATACACAGTGCAATTGTTCTTCCCCGATTGTCTGTGGACTTAATTACATTACACCAAGCTATCACAATCGGCTCCATGGTGTGCCCTCACAGTTCCACAGTCACAGCACACAAAATGTCCACCAGAACCTGTTTTTCCTGGAGTATATCTCCCCCACAAACTTTTTTTTATATTACATTGACATTTTATTAGAATCTATACAAAATCAAAATATATCATGAGCTGAGGCAGAGACTTTTTTTATTTTTTAGTATATTTCGATTTTTGGCAAACACATTGAAATTTCAGTCAGTTCTGCCTGATGTATCTGGCCATGACACATCAGCCATTACATGTACCAGTTGATGAGAACAGATATTTTCTTCCATATGTATATGTTGCCTATGTCATTTCATTGTACATGTGCAAGATGATAGCTGGTTGGCTTGGGAGATCCCCATTTTTTACTCTTGTGTATGCCCTAGAACATGGGTAGGCAGTCTTTGGCCCTTCAGGTGTTGTAGACCACATCTCCTTTGATGCTTTGCCAGCATTATAGCTGTAAGAGCATTAAAGGAGATGTAGTCCACACCACCTGGAATGATTGCCTACCGCTGCTCTAGAGTACACCACTGTGTGGCTCCTGTAAGGTTAATTTGCCAGTAACCAAAGACAGAATAATGGCAGCATGGAGGGAGAACTGAAAGTAAGCAATATCTCCCTTTCCACACCTCCCCAGAAATATATTTAATCTTTTTTCTCCATTTCAGCTATTGTTCCATCTACTCTCCCTCTATCTCAGTTCCTCTTCTCTTCCCTATTACCAACAAAGAGCTTCCTTTTCCCCCTGCTATTAATGGCAGTTATTTTCTTGGTGAACAGAAGAGAATCAAATTAAAATTTCTATCAGAGCTGTCTGTAAAAAATTTGGACTATGTTAAACCTATTTATCCACCATAACTTTGAGATCTTTGGCTGAGATCATTCTCTCCCCTTTAATTCAAATATATTGCTTAATACATTGTCCTGTGTAAGATTGTTTCTTTTTTATTTTGCTTTCTGATAACATCACAGATCCTCAGAAGGGATATGAGAGTGGGCACATGGCCCCCATAGGTGTCCACAGTGGTGCCAGCAGGGGGACTGCCTGAACTGACAAGCAGTCCCACTGCTGGAGAAAAAGTAAAAAATAAAGTTAATAAAAGTAAAAAATAAATAACAAAATAAAATTAATAAATTAAATTTAAAATAAATAAAATATATATTTATATATGAGATATATATACACATATAGTGTATCTATATATAATACGTATATATATGTCATACTAAGTGTATTTTTTATTAATATATACATATATTAATATAAAAATACACTTAGAGTAAAATTACACACATATATAATATATAACTATATATAGTAAAAAATAAATAATTAAAAGTAAAAAACTAAAAATAATTCTAAAAAAATTATATATATATATATGTAATTTTATTCTTACTGTATTTTGATATCTATATATATATATATATATATATATATATATATATATATTTATATCAAATACACTTAGAATGAAATTATATATATATCTAGGTATATCCCCTTAACGACCGTGGAGGTACTCTGTAAGTCCGACAAAAAAAACGGTTGTTAAGGACCGCGGACGTACATAGTACGACAGCGGCAAATAGAAGACCTGGACTTACCTGGACCAGCGATCAGCGGCGATCATGGTCGGGGAGGACTGCCGGAGACCCCAGCAGTCCCCCTGCAGCACCTCCGGCCACCCCGGCCCTCCAGGGCCATGTGATCACCATGATCACATCGCCGCAACAGGAGTCTAGGAGCTGCCCGCAGGGGGACTGTCTGAGCTGTATTTATACACCAAGTCAAGTTTATATGTACGGTGGGGAAAAGCAGAACAAATTACGTCCCTGTAAAGACCGAAAGCCAGGACAAAGTCAGGGATATTTAACTTTCTGTTCAGTCTTGGGTCTCTCGATTTCATAACTAACGCTACTATGTTCAATTCGTTAAAATCACACACGTTCGTTTAAAATTCCGTTAGTCAGTAAAAGGGCAGTTTTTGTGTAAAAAAATACAAAAAACAAATAAAAACGCTAACTTTGGCCAGCGTTTGTGACTAAGTGGCTACCACAAAAGACTGGACATACTCCCTTTTGAATACTGTGTGTTGTCTACTTTTACAAAGCCCTGATGGGGTTAATTTTCATTCCTGGGCTGCTATATGGTCTTAAAGGCAACATAGGCCCATCAAACCAATCTGGCATATTTCAATGTGCCCTACATTTGACCCCTGTAAGTTTGCAAAAACCCATAAAATCTGTACATTGGGGGCACTGTTGTACTCAGGAGATGTTGCTGAACACATATTGGGGTGTTCTTTGTCAGTAACCCATAACAGGAACTGAGAATCTATGCCTAAATACAATATGAGAGAAAAATAACACAAAAAAAATGACTACCCAAATGTTTGACAAAGACTGGTGGTAGGATACGTGCATAGAAAGTGTTAAAATACCACCATTTGAAATACCCTACGGTGCCTACTTTGCAAAAATGTATGGTTTGATGGGAGTAAAGTACATTGGCCGGCTTCAGAAATGTCCCAAATAGGACATGGGTGCATGATGACCAGCTGTGAAAATTCCAAGTTGGAAAACTGGAATGCGCACCCTCCAAATAAGGTCTTTTGTAACCCAGAGAACCCGACACACCTATACATGGGTGGTATCACTGTACTCAGGAGATGTTACTGAACACGTATTGGGGTGTTCTTTGGCAGTAACCCTTAAAGTTCTCCGTACATGTATTCTTAAATTGCTATGTGTGTCAAAAAAATAAAAAGAGTACGAAAAGAGTTAAAATACCCCAAGTTTAATACCTTAGGTTGTCTTCTTTTAAAAAATATATACATGTAATGGGGTTATTCAGGGATTCCTGACAGATATCAGTGTTACAATGTAACTTGTGTAAATTGTTTTAAAAATGGTTTGGAAATAGCAAAGTGCTACTTGTAATTATAGCCCTATAACTTATGAAAAACTAGAACATGTTAACATTGGGTATTTCTAAACTCAGTACAAAATGTAGAAACTATTTAGCATGGGTGTTTTTTGGTGGTTGTAGATGCGTAACAGATTTTGGGGGTCAAAGTTCAAAAAGTGTGTTTTCTTTTAATTTTTTCATCATATTTTATAGAAAATGTTATAGTAAATTATATGATATGATGAAAATAATGGTATCTTTAGAAAGACCATTTAATGGTGAGAAAAACGGTATATAATGTGGGTACAGTAAATGAGTAAGAGGAAAATTATAGCTAAACACAAATACCGCAGAAATGTAAAAAGAGTTCTGGTCCTTAACGGTAAGAAAATTGAAAAACAGTCTGGTCACTAAGGGGTTAAACAGAAACTAGATGCATACTTGCAAAAACAGAATATGCAATGATATAATTTTTCAACTGTAGGGCAATATCTTCTTGATCCAAGGATAAATCTGTCTGCCATTCTGGGGTCAAGAGGGAATGTTTTACCTAGTTTGTTCCAAAATTCAAAGTGCTTCAAACTGAACAAGGCTGTACTTGATGGACCCATGTCGCTTTTCAACCTGTAACTATGTTACCATATGAGGAAGCTTTGACTGATGACTATTTATTTGGATAAGTGCAATATTATATATTATATTTCCTATATTTGTTTTACATATTCTAGATGTTTTTCTATTTAATTGGAATAAACATATGCAAAAGAATATTTTAAATTCTTTATTTTTGTAGTGCGTAAGTTAATAACAAACAGTTGAGAGGTACCCCAAAGGCATTCCTCCAACGTAATGTTGACAGATGAACATAGAGGTACATGTGAAAGCGAGCACTAATTTTATATTTAAGGATTCCCTCTAGAAACAAGCTAGACATAGATTTAGGCTTATAGCAAAGAGATGACACAGTGAACACATGTCAGTATTCAGTAAAGAGAGACAATGGGTTAAACTTTAACTGTTCTAACTGACAGCATAAAGGTGTATGCATTTTAGGTTAAGGCATGCAACTGATAACTTCAACAGAGGTATAATGCTATCATACACATAGGTTGCAGGCTATTCATGTGTGTCTGATTATGTAGAACAACAGAGTCCACTTTGAGTTATCTAGACATGTGGGTGCGTAAGTGAACATAGGGTTAACAACATGCTTTGGGGATGTGAGGTGAGTGTAAATAGTGTGAGACATAAGGTCACACGAGTATATCTTACTAGGTAGAGTGGCCGCTGGAGGGCATTTTAAACTTTGCGGCATGGTACAGTATCAAGGTAAAATGATGGCCATCAATATCATGGAGGATTCAGAGTTAGGCAACACAGTCCACTGTCCTTAGCGAGTTTCTGGCTCAGCCGATCCCCTTATTTGGAAAGCTCTTAGGGCATGTGAAGAAGTGGGCAGCTTCTCTATTCTCCTCCGTGGGGGGTCCCAACGCTTGACGGGTGGCCCGTTGACAGGAGTGGCTGCGCAGATCTCTCTGCTTGGCCTCCACTCGTTCTGGATGGTCAGAGGTAAGTTTGTAGTGTATTCTCCTGTGCCGGCTGCGTTCGGCTATTCCCTGCCGCTTCTTAATTGCCCGCTGCTTTGTGGGATGTCGCCTGGCTGGTTTGAGTACGGCGGTTTTTAGCCCAGTGTGAGCCATGTCCCTTGGAATCCTTGGTTTGCGAGCTGTCTTCCGGCTGGAAGGATGGACTTGGGGAGGAGGCCTGTGCTGTATGTTTCTCCAAAATGCTTGGCAGATTTGATTGAATCTGTTCTCGAAGCGCCGTCTCCATTGCTGGAGCGCCAGATCCTCCTTGGTTTGCTCGGAGCTTGGCATGGCGGCCATCTTGGGCGCCTTGTGTGGCTTTTCGTCGGACAGTGATTCTCCCCCTGTTGGGCGAGTATGCGTCTCCAGCGGGGACCGGGATATCCCCCACCGGTCCATAGGGGGGGGTAGCAGGGGAACACGAGCGCTGCCATGCAATGCTGGCCCTGTGCTGAGAGATTGGCCGCCTCCCCTGGCGATCAAGTTGCTTGGCATGCTAGGCCTCAGGTGACTTTCCCGGTCAGACGGCTGCGATTGCGTCGTGTGTGGTATCAGAACATTCAGCGTTGCTTCGCCTTCTGCCAGTGGCCCGGTTTGTGGCTTTTTCTGGTCTGTAATCTGTAATTTGTCCGGTTTAAGTGTCTTGTAGAGCAGGAGCTATGCCTGCATGCGTCTGCTCTGCTCCGTGCTCAAACCCCGCCCCCTCCAAAAGAATATTTTAATATAGTCCTGTGCCTCTATTAAAGGGACACTTGAGTGCCAGGAAAACAATCCATTTTCCTGGCACTGCAGGTCCCCTCTCTCTCTCCCACCCCCCATCCTAGGTTGCTGAAGGGGTTAAAACCCCTTCAGTGACTTACCTGCATTCAGTGCCGAGGGATCTCGGTGCTGGTTCAGGGTCCGCCCACGCTCCTCCCCCGCCAACGTCATCTGTTAACCCTGCAATGTAAATATTGCAGTTTATGAAAACTGCAATATTTACAGTTGCAGGGTTAGGGGTAGTGGGAGTTGGCACCCAGACCACTCCAATGGGCAGAAGTAGTCTGGGTGCCTGGAGTGTCCCTTTAAGTTCTAGTTTCTCTACTTCAGGGAGTGTCACCCCACATAACTTGACACCACACTTTTTCACCTCAGAGCCAAGGATTAAGAGATCTTTTTATGTGAGAGATATCCTACCACTTCTCTTTATGATTATTTGACTTAATACTACACTATCATTGCTGTTCTCCCCATTCTCTCTCACAACCCTCCCCCCCCCCCGTCCATTTACCCCCTTTGCCCTGTCACACTCTCCCTACCACTGGTACCCCTTTACTCACCTTGTCACAGTCACCAGCTCAAGACATTCATTATACACACACAGTCAGGAAACATAGCTTTGCCATAAACACAATGCACAAAGGCCACAGGCAGACTCCCATAACACACTTCAAGCAGCTACTCCATACACATACGGTCCCAGATAAAAACATAAACATGCTCACAGAGACACATTCACACACACACACACACACACACGGATACTCTCTGTCAGACACACTCTCAGGCACATACGCAAGTAAACAGTGCATCAATGTGTATATGTGACAGTGTGCATTGATTGCAACTCTATTTTTTTTACTTTGGTGTTAGTGGGGCCTCATGTTTGAGTTTTGCCTAAGGCCTCATAAAGTTTAGAGTCGCCACTGTTGGAGAGGAGACCATCGTGGAAGAGAAATTGAGTGCAACTTTAAGTTATACAGTGCATTCATATAGTATTCAGACCCCTTTATTCTTTCACACTTTTTATGTCGCATAATATTTAAATCTATTTTTTGCCAGTGAGCCTGAGCTGCACCCATGGGCATCCGCATGGAGGGTAAGGGGGGGATCTTGCCCCCCTTGGATTTTTCAGTTTGTGCTGGTATTTCTCTTTTGAGATTGAGAATACACTGCAATACCGGCGGCGGCCAGTTGGTGTATGGATAGGAAGCTACATCTTATCCCTGCTTCTTTCTCCTGACTGAAACTGTAGGGGAGCAGCACAGAGTGCAGCCAGCAATTTCCAGACTGCAGAGACAGCCTACAAATCAGGTAAGTGAGGGAGGGCAGCCTACAGATCAGGTACGTGAGGGATGGGGAGACAATCAGGGAAGTGAGGCATGGGGGGGCAGCCTACAGATCAGGTAAGTGAGGGATGTGGAGACAGCCTGCAGATCAGGGAAGTGAGGCATGGAGGGGGGCAGCCTACAGATCAGGGAAGTGAGGCATGGGGGGGCAGCTTACAGATCAGGTAAGTGAGGGATGGGGGGCAGCATACAGGAAAGGTTAGCAATGAGCAGGAAGGTAAAGTAGGAGAAGGAGCAGAAAGGAGAAGGAACAGAAATGAGCTGGAAGGGACATCAAGGAGCAGAAAGTGTCAGCAAGGAGCTGTAAGAGACAGCAGGAGCAGAAAGGTAAAGTAAGTGAAGGAGCAGAAAGGAACAGAAATGAGCAGAAAGTGTCTGCAATGAGCAGAAAGGGTCTGCAAGGATAAGGAAGAGTTAACAATGAGCAGGAAGGGGCTGCAAGGAGCAGGAATGGGCAGAAAGAGTCAGCAAGGAGCAGGAAAGGTCTGCAAGGAGAAAGAAGGGTCTGCAAGGATCAGAAAGAGTCAGGAAGGGACAGAAGGAGCACAAAGGTAAAGAATCAGAAGGAGCACAAAGGTAAAGTAGGAGAAGGAGCAGAAAAGGGGCAGCAAGGAGCTGGAAAGGACAGCAAAGAGCAGAAAGGAGCTGGAAGGGGCAAAAGGAGCACAAAGGTAAAGTAGGAGAAGTAGCAGAATGGAACAGAAATGAGCAGGAAGGTGCAGCAAGGAGCAGGAAGGTGCAGCAAGGAGCAGTAAGGGTCTACAAGAAGAAGGAAGGGTCTGCAAGGGGCAGGAAGGGACAAAAGGAGCACAAAGGTAAAGGAGCAGAAAGAATCAGAAGGAGAACAAAGGTAAAGTAGAAGAAGGAGCAGAAAAGGGCAGCAAGGAGTAGAAAGGAGTTGGAAGGGGCAGAATGAGTGCAAAAGTAAAGTAGAAAAAGGAGCAGAAGGGAATAGAAATGAGCAGAAAGGGACAGAAGGAGCAGGAAGGTAAAGGAGCAGAAAGAATCAGAAGGCGCACAAAGGTAAAGTAGGAGAAGGAGCAGTAAGGAACAGCAAGGAGCAGGAGGGTAAAGTAGAAGAAGGAGCAGGAAGGAGAAGAAACATAAATGAGAAGGAAGGGACAGCAAGGAACAGAAAGGGGCAGCAAAGAGCTGGAAGGGGCAGAAGGAGCACAAAGGTAAAGTAGGAGAAGGAGCAGAATGGGTCTGCAATGAGCAGAAAGGGATCAGGAAGAGAAACGAGCAGAAGAGCGCAAAATAAGCAGAAAGTAGCAGAAAGGTAAATGAGCAAAAGAAGTCAAGGAGGAGAGAAGACAGTGTCAGAAGAATTAAATGACTGTGTCAAATGAAGAAGAAGAAAAGGAGATTTGAGCAAGAAGGACAAGTGATCCCTCCACTTTATTCTAGACACCACATCATAAGGCTTTGGAACCTGGGCCTGGCAAGGAAACATTGGACCTTCTCATCTTTCCAGGTAAAAAAAAAATCTCAGTGTTAATGTGTCTTTTATTTACTGAGTGTCAGGAAGCACAGAGTGACGTTGGGTAGGGGTGTCACTGATTAGCTAGAGCGGTCAGCTGGCACTCTAAGCCAATCAGTAGCTCCCCATTCACAAAAAGTAAAACATTTTTATGAACCAGTTTTTAATGAGCGATTGACTTAGAGCGTCAGCTGACTCTAGCCAATCAGTGGCACCCATGCCTGACGTCAATCTGCGCTTCCTGACACTCCGTTTCAGAAGCCGAATACCACTGAACGACTTGGAGATCTGGAGCTGGAGGAAGTCTTTGGGGTTTAATCATTTGAGAGAGGTTTAACCCCTTAAAAGAAAGAGAGCACCCAGGGGCCTCCTAGCATCATTGCATTTTCATTTAGATGAAGTTGTTATGGTACCAGAAGGTTCCTTTAATTTGATTAAAGGAACACTATAGTTTCAGGAATACATACATGTATTCCTGACAGCATAGTTGTGAAAACGCTATTTATCCTGGCTTTATGTGATAATGAGTATGCCCCTCCCCTTCATGTCAAAAAGGGGCCAAACATGGATGTCATTATAATTATGCCCCCGCCCAACCCCCCGGAAAAATTCCTGCGGACACTCATGGCCACAGCCATCTCTTTCAACTCCCGACAGCTTTAGGCTAATCTGTTAAAGGGTGACTCCAGACCCATAAACAACTTTAGCTTGGTGAAAAGCTTTATGTGTGAAGAGTGTGTCCTCGTTTTAGATTTTTCAAAAAGTGCAGATTTCAAAAGAAATGGATACTTTTATAAATTAACCTGGTTAAACCCATATGGGCTTTCAAGCATACAACAGATAATTCAACATCTTAGTTTAATTAGCTCAGTGCAGCTGACCTCAAGTGGCAGCAATTGCCCAGAGTACCTGACTTACAAAGACTTTTCATTAAGCTTACAGACCCTATTTTTGATGAGGTTTTTATGTCCGTTAAAGCCTCTTTCAGGCGCTGAAAGCCGCAAAATAGAAGCGCAGGTCTGGGGCCTACAAAGCACTGGCCTTTCTTAACTGGGACTCACTCCTCGACGTCTTGCTCCTCAACAGTGACATAGACACTGCAGAGCAGCTGCTGCCAACATCCACAGCCTCCACGTCGACCATGGGGCATAAGACACAGAACCCTCCACCCGGAGCAGTGACTGAATCACTGGATATAGGCA